ATTTTTGCTGATAGAATACAAACTTACTGAGCATGGAATTTGGATAATAGTGTTCCAACTGCTTAACACGTTCTTAATACCACAAAGTGTGTTTTTCTTTTCAGCTTGGAGGATCTATCAATACAGCAAACAACCAAGAACCTCAAACACTCGTCAACAATTTGATAAAGGTGTTCGATTGGCTATTTTAATATTCAAGCTTAACATTTTACAAATCGTTATAGTAACACCTTTAGTATTTGTTACCTTTTTTAGTTATACTTTAAAACAGGCAGGACTGTTTCACCCATCTGTTTTATCAGTCTTTTTCCCAGCATCCTTCGTCTGTGATTTCCTCAAACTACCAGTTTTCTTATTAAGGAATACTGAATTGCGACGTTCATTTACTGAGCTGAAAGAAAAATTGCTGTGTGAAAGTACAGTCTAATGATTCGCCTAGCTAATAACAAAAAGAAATAAAACACAGTTAAAGTCCTAAAACCTTGGAGTAATGACTGACCAAGCTAAAACTAAATTTACATTAAAGCCTATATACAACTATGTTATAAATTATAATACCCAAAATCCAAAATGAATATATTTACAAATAAATTAATAAATAAAAATAAATGATTTACACAGTGGCTCAACTACCATAGGTAAACGTAAATATCAGAAAAAAATACCATCTTTTCGGACAGAAAACGAAAGAATAGCGGACAACGACCAGAAAACAAAGAAAAATATTCGTGGGACATTTTCGGGCAAACCAATTGCCCTTCCAACAGGCTTTCAACCGTACGCCTTTGGATTGAGCCACATGGGTTACATAAAAATAATAATAGTGAATTACGTTCAAATAAACCCAGAAACCAGACACTTTCTCGCTTGATCTTTACATTTTTGGTCATATTATATCTGCAGAACAATTTTATGAAAATAAAAGTATAGTCAGGTGTTCGAAAAGAGTAAGCAAAATCTGCCACAATACAAGAAGCAGATTTGTCGTACTTGACAAGGAGTTCAACTTCCAACTTTTTTTTCGTGACAAAAGTCCGTCGTGTGCGCAAAAATCATTGTTTTTGAAAAAAGCATGTGTTTGATAATCAAACTTGATTGAATTCTGAACAACTGTTTCGCGTACAAATGTTTCGAATCTGCCTCATGCATTGAATAAAAACATTTTTACGAAACAAATCCAAATTATATCAACGTTTTCTGTATTCGAAAAATTGTCAGTCCCTCCGAACATTGTTATCACAGAACAGAATTGGTGTCATGGTTCCTCCGACAGGGTCCGAAATACCGACAAGACATTTGAGACTTGATATTCGCGAATTGAAAAGCACGTTTTTATCACGCAGGCTGCAATAAAGAGTTGGAAAGTTTTTATTACGTATGAAGAAACGAAACAATAAATAAATCTCTTTTCAATATCTATCGTATGTCTTTTGACAGATAAAAACGTGCTTTTCAGTTCGCGAATATCAAGTCTCAAATGTCTTGACGGAGTGTCGGACTCTGTCGGAGGAACCATGACGCCTGTTAGCTTTCAACTCCGGTGCTTTTAAGCCTACAATTTTTTAACAAGAAATTAAACCTTTCGGGTACCTCACAAAGAAACCAATTATATAATTACACTCCAGAAATTTTACCCCAATTTTCTCAATTTATAAAATATAATAAAAACAATTTATACCACATTACGATAAACCTCTCAATTATTCAATTGACAAAAACATCACACAATAATCTGTCACCCGTGATAGGAATATGTTTAGGCCTATACATTATTACCATATATCATTCGTTATGGTCGGACTCGCTTAACTAAATGGAGTTCTGGATCTATCTTATGCAATTAAACTATCATTACAAATAGGATAATAAAGGGCGAACTTATTAAAATTTTAACGGTGCATGCCTTACTTCCGGTTTGTATTTTTTTCTCTTAAGAGATTAAAATTAATTAATATAGATAATCTGTACGGTTGTTGTCTACATTTGTAAATTACACTGGAAGCAGGGTCGCCCGAGGTGATTTTGAGAAACCGGAAGTTCTCACGCCCAAACCGGAAGTGACATAAAAATATTGATGACGCAGTTATACTGTAATTTTCAGCCTATGCTCAATGATTATTTAAGTGTTGCCTGTAGCCATAGTTATGTACCTTTAAGTATTATTGACAACATCTTTATAATAATGGTAATAATAATTATTATTCTTTAGAAAAGGGCAAACAAATATATGCCCTTATTACCAGATAAACATCAAGGTCGGAGCCTCGGTACCCACCGGTAGGTCTGTCTTTTCTCCATTCAAAGTCTTAAACTTAATTTTCCTTTACCACTTTTTCTGCTTAGGAATAACAATACCACTGGTTGTTTGATTAAACTCCACTCGTCGCTTCCCCTGGGAGCCATGATCGGTGGTCTAGCAAACCATTGCAAATAAGAGATGAGTAGGTCTGATTTTATCATAAACTACAGTGTAAAAAAGAAAGCAAGGTTTTCGGGCGAAAAAATCTCATAACTAGGTTAGAGATTCGGGCAATCGCAGACATCTCGCCCCTCCTCGGACGTAAACCTGGTTCCACCACTGTTCTAAAGTAATCCTCACACAGTCATTTCGAAGGCAACTCATAGCGACTTTAGTTATTGTAACCAACCGGTCTTTGCTATGGTAATAATAATAATAAAATCTTTATTGAAATCCAGTTACTCATAGCCACTTTAGTTATTGTAACCAACCGGTCTTTGCTATGGTAATAATAATAATAAAATCTTTATTGAAATCCAGTTACAGAGGTAATCGTCCCTGGAATCTACTAACTTCTATAAATAACACAATTATATACAAATAGAAGCATTAAGATGATATGATATAAAATGGTGAAAAAAGTCAATTACATGAGCAAGCAAAACATGTTACAAAATAGATATTTTTACAACCAGTATGAATCTTACGATGAAAAATAATATAAAATTGACCTTGACAGACAACTGAAGATAGTTATCCATTTTCTGTCCGATTTACTATCTAACTATATATACAATTAATATACAGGGAGAAATAACATAAATATGTTGAAAAGTGGTGTCAGTGTAACTTTAGACCCAGACTACAGGTATTTTCGACATTGATAACATTCTATTGACTATAAATATATAGAATTTATTCATCAAATTGTGCCAGTTATAAATAAATGAATTGAAATTTATCATTCCCAATATATCAGTGAGAGCCTTATAGATAGATTATTCGGTAATTAAGATTTATATTGTCATCGTACATTGTGTGAGAGAGAACTCAAGTTACCTGTAAAATATCAGAGTATTCACAGTACCAAAAGATCAATCACTGTAATTGTAAGTAAGTCAGTAAATTAATTACTTTATTAGACGCCAATCACGCGACATTAATTGAATTCGGTTGATGTGGAAACCAGTTTCGTCAAGTCATAATGACCCGCGGCGATTGCCAACCACACAAGTTTCGATATTAGGATTAACTGGTAATTTTACAGAATAAATATCCCGTCTCAAGTAACAAACATGCGGAAATCGGGGTTTCTGGATTGTCAGCTACCTCTTAAAGGCATAGTAAAGAGGTTTTCTAGCCTTTTTATGTGTATCAAGGACTCCTTTGGCTTTCATTTGGGGCATTCTAATTCTTCGTCTTCGTCTTCTGGAAATGAAATAGCCCCCGCAAGAGAATTCGTGATTCGATACACATTAAAACCTCTTTACAATCCCTTTCATCGGGAATACACTGTATCTATATCCATTTGGACTGCCTTTCAATCACGTTAATGTTTCATATTCTCGTCAAAATCTTGATCAGAAGTTTTCAACCTTTCTCATTCTATTTACTCTTTCAGGATCTTCGATCGATTGCATTACCCACCTTCTCCGCCCTAATTATGCCGCTATCCTGGCAATAATTTCCCGCATTGCACACATCTAAACCTTATGTAACAAGGTAGTACGTAACACCACTTCATTTCAACTGAAATAGTCATTTTTGTTTTGTTATAGCTGTTTTTTTAGCCAGCCCATTTGTGTGAAAGCACACAACGTGTAAATATCGTGACACGTTTGTACGTGAAACAATTTTGAATTGATTTATTATTATATATTAAATCCCTTTGGAACTATACGAGAGACGACTTCCTTTGGTTTCGATAAACCTGATGTGTTATAAGTTAAATTCCCCCGTAACAATAAACGGAATTTGTGAGTGTGCTTGAGTAAAATGGAATCATAGTTTTGTCATGAAACAAATTAATCTTTTTGTTGTTCTTGGATTGAAATGCTTGGCACATCATCAGAGGTATGAATAGACGAGGAAGTGGAGCTCACGATGCGATTTGTCGATACACTTTAAAAAAAAAAAAACAATAGAGGCCAATCGTGCCCTACCTCATGTATTTACCTTATATTTTCTACTCTATAAATAACCTCAAACCGTAAGCTGCACCGAACACCATAACTTTAAGACGATCGGAGTTTTAACGACATACCCTAACGATAAATGTATGCTTTAAGTGTTTCCATCTTCACGAAGTGAAGCTATTACGATGTTCATTTTATACATTGACTACAATATTCACCTTTCGTGGATCACGGAATGCAGTGATTTGATTGGATTGTATACCTTTGAATACAGCCAATCATAGTCAAACAGACTGTAAAAGTTTATTAATTACAGAGTTTCTGTCTAAGGTTCTAATTGGCTGTATTTGCTTACACACAATCCAACCAAATCAATGATTTACAAACTTCCGATATACAATTAAGGTGGCTTTTGTAGTCAAGATATAAGTCGGTGTTCGCAATACCTTGACCATTGTAAAGATGAAGTATTTCTTGGTTTATGTTATTAATTAGTTTAACTTTGTGATATAGATAATGTAGTAAGTAATAAGTTAATTAGTAAACTGGTATAAATCTGGAAGTGTTAAGGCAACATGAGAGTTAAGTGTTCATTTTGTTATATGGAATCTGGATTTCTAACCACAATGGCAGTTAATTGTCATTTTGTTGTTTACTTTGGACTAGTGTTCTTATATTCAACTGTAGCAGGTAAGGAAATGAAACATTACTGCAATATATACGATATATTTTCAACCTCCAGTCGATCCCAGCTCATTTAAACATAAAAGTTCAGTTCAATACGAAGCCGATATCGAATGATGACCTTTGATGAAAGGTCTATCCTTTTTTTTTAAAAAAAAAAGGTCATCTGATTTGGTGTGAGTCAGACCCTCGTTTCTCAAGCAATCTTGAAATAAATTTGTGGTAAACATTTAAACTGAAAAATACCACATTTACTCCCGAAGAGTTAATTGTAAAGGTGTTTTGAGATCATAAGTGTCGTAGAAATTAGACAATTTGAGAGTTTCTTTTGGTAACTGCATGTAACTATGTTTTTGGTTTCAGACATCACAGTCCACCCACAAGAAGATTTTAATACTGCTCAAGCAGATTGTTCTGGCAGAGGCTTGTCTCTACCAGTGGCCGAAACGTATGAAGAGTACGAGCTGCTACTGCAGTACTTGAATGACAATAATATGTACGTATGTTAACTTATATTTTATAGAAAGTTTGCTTGAACTGTTTGTTATAATTATGAACTTGGTCTTGGGATCTCCAGTGAAGTAACCCAAATCTCGGCCTTGAGATCGTGAGCCCAGTAACCCACAACTTGGCCTTGGGATATTGAGTTAAGTAACCCACAACCTGACCTTGGGATATTGAGTTAAGTAACCCACAACTTGACCTTGGGTTCTTGAGTGAAGTAACCTACAACCCGACCTTGGGATATTGAGTTAAGTAACCTACAGGTCTTGGGTTCTTGAGTTAAGTAACCTACAACCTGACCTTGGGATATTGAGTTAAGTAACCCGCCACATGGTCTTGGGATATTGAGTTAAATAACCCACAACCTGACCTTGAGATATTGAGTGGAGTAACCCACAACTTGACCTTGGGATATTGAGTTAAGTAACCCACAACCTGACCTTGGAATCTTGAGTGAAGTAACCCACAACCTGACCTTGGGTTCCTGGGTGAAGTAACCCACAACCTGACCTTGGGATCTTGAGCGCGGTAACCCTAAACATGAACTTGTGATATTGAGTTAAGTAACCTATAACATGACCTTGAGTTCTTGAGTAAAGTAACCCACAACCTGACCTTGAGTTCTTGAATGAAGTAACCCACAACCTGACATTGGGTTCTTGAGTTAAGTAACCCACAACCCGACCTTTGGATCTTGAGTAAAGTAACCCATAACGTTGCCTTGAGCGCAGTAACCCACAACCTGACCCTGGGTTCTTGAGTGAAGTAACCCACAACCTGACCTTGGGTTCTTGAGTAAAGTAACCCACAACCTGAGCTTAGGATATTGAGTTAAGTAACCCACAACCTGAACTTAGGATATTGAGTTAAGTAACCCACAACCTGAAAATGGGATATTGAGTTAAGTACCAAACAAATTGACCTTGGGATATTGAGTTAAGTAACTCATAATCTGACCTTGGGATATTAAGTGAAGTAACCCACAACCTGAACTTGGGATATTGAGTTAAGTAACTCATAACTTTGCCTTGAGCGCAGTAACCCTAAACATGACTTTGGGATCTAGAACGAAGTAACTCACAACTTGGCCTGGAGATCTTGAGTTAAGTAACCCATAACCAGAACTTGGGATATTGAGTTAAGTAACCCACAACTTGACCTAATGATATTGAGTTAAGTAACCATAACTTGGCCTTGGGTTCATGAGTAAAGTAACCCACAACCTGACCTTGGGTTCTTAAGTGAAGTAACCCTTAACCCAAACATGGGATCTTGAGTGAAGTAATTCACAACCTGACAGTGAGATCTTGTTGTTGTAACCCGCAACTAGGCCTTCGGATCTTGGTGGAGTAACCCAAATCTCGAGTGGAACAAACTACAACTCTGGATCTTGACTGAAGTAACTCGCAACTTGTCCTGGGGATCTTGAGTGAAGCAACCTACATGAATGTGAGATCAACGACAGCTCAAATTGGGGTCTTGAGTGAAGTAACCAACAACTTCACCGTAAGACCAACAACTCGACCTTTGGAATCTTGAGTGAGGTTACTAGGCCGTGGCATTGACTCATTTCAGATCAACGTGTCTTGACAGTTCTCTTTGAATGATTTGAACGATTAGAATTTTCGTTGTTATTTTTAAAAATACCCTCTTTTATATGCCTGTATAACGTCAACAATGATACAAAGACAAGAGGAATAAAAACAACCAGATTCAAAATTACCATGAGAATACAATGTTAGTTAAAAGACAAAATCGATTTTGTAACAATGGAATCAACATATAATTCTCTAGAACAAACTTTGTTAGTAAGTTTATGTAAATCGTAATATCCATTCAAAATTTTAATGAGGGTCTGAGACTGACTTTTCGTCAGTAAGTAAATAAACATGAGCACATAATATCATTATGAAATTTGTTTTTTCAGAAATATTTTGGAAATTTCTCCTTACAAAGTGTGTTTAATGTTTATAATCAAAATACAAAATTAATTTATCAATGCAAAATCATCCAGAGAATGTCAATACTGTTTTGAAGATAATATTCAAATTATCGGTAAAATTTATTGAAATTATGCATTACATTACAATTCGTATAATATTTTGATTTCTGATGTATTTTCGTCTCCACTGTAATCTAACAAGTTTCTACCATAGTTTAGTTCTAATGATATTATTCTAACCAATCAAAGCGTTTAATGTAGAACCCGTTTTTTGATAACATAATGAATAGTATGATAGTGAAAGTAGAGTAATATGTCAGCATCTTTTGATTAACTTGGATGAAAGAAGAGTCGTTCTTTTGTCTGATTCATTTTAATGTATTTATCCGGTTAAGGGGCGGTCAACATTAGTGACAATGTATATAGTCTTCTACCCTCGTCTCTCTTCACTCTAATGAGATTTCAAACCAATTAGCTGACAAAATATGAGAGTTAAGATTAAGGTTATCAATTTGTGTGTATGCTAATATTTATATGGTGTTTTGGTTTTTATTGAACAGACATTCAATGACAAGTTATTAATTCGGTGACAAATATTTTATAACAAACGCCATTATAGTTTTCTGTGTGTATCTCATTAGACTTACTGAACTATATGTATGGTATGAACTACTTTTCATTCAGATTTGTTTTATTTGACGCTCACATACAAAAATGCAGTTCAAATTTAAAATGAAAATAACTATTAGTAAGCGTAATTTAATTCGTCGAATCATCAGGAACACTCGATGCCACTCAGCGAATGGATTGTGTCAACTCAATTTTGACTAATGATTATTAAGTACAGATTTCGTTTTCAGAAATCTTCCAGTATTCCGACTATCTGATTGAAATGTAAATCTAAATTTTCGCTTCGTAATTTTTTCTGTACCCTATTGGTCACAATCGTATCTATGGCGACCATTCTCGCTACGTCTGATAATAACCTCGTATGCAGCTGGAAGAAAACCTTCTTTAATTATTAGGCGGAAGTTAAAATGCATTACAAAATATAGTTCTTCAGATGTTAGTTATCTCCCTTGAATTTTCGTCGCATAGAGGTATTAATAAAGTCTTTATTATTACCTCTATGACTCGTCGTAGACGGGAGAAGTCTGGGTGTCACAGACTAGTCACATGTCAACAATGAAGTCGAAAATTAAAGGAAAAATTAAACTTTTCGTTTCCACTAAATCTGTCATTGTTTGCTACATTCGAATATAAACCAGAATTTTAATGTTCAGTGTAAGACACAGAAGGCTTCCAGTGACCGCCATCTTTATTGTCACATGACATATATTTATTGTCACATGACCTAATTTTTGAAAGTAGTCCAATTTGATTAATATATATAAATCCAATACTTTTTCATCAACATTAATTGAGGTAATAAAAAAAGTAGTATTGTAAAAATTGTGCCCCCTGGATTTTTATCTTGAACCATTAATTTTGACTAATAGATTTCGTGATTGGAACCCAGGTGGGAAAAGGGTCATCTGGAACAAAATGTTCAGAATGGTCTTCATTTTATACAACTGTAATAATTTATCTTAACTAATCCAAACTAATGTGATGAAAAGGTTGATTTGACAAACGTTCAAATGGGCTGTCGTAAGACCCTAACTGAAGTGGTTGTATTTACAATAAAAGCTAAATTAAAAAAAAAAACAGTGCGAATGTTTGGTCTAATTTTAATGCCTTCTAAAGTAAAGGTCTTGGTGGTTTTAAAATGGGCAATCAGACCTGATACATAACCTCATTGGAAGGTCCAGCATAAGTTGTGAATCACTTTACATTGTGTGATTAGATACTTCTGCTTTGTAACATTTGTTTTTGTGATTTTGAAATTTTGGTCTGGGGTTAGGGATTACTTTAGTGGAGGGGGTCCGTGGACCTGGTTCAACCAGTCCCTGTAGACGAAAAAACCAATAATAACAGTAATAATAACAATGTAATAAACCAGAGTGTTATATCGTTTCAGTAATACTAACGTTTGGCTTGGTCTGAAAGTTCCAGATGGTGAAACCCGGTTTAAATGGGTAAACGATGGGTACAAAGAGGGTGGATATTTACAAACTGAATGGGCTGATGACGAGCCAAATAATCTGGACGTACCCGAATCTTGTGTGCGATTGAAGTCGGATGATGATTTTAAGTGGAACACCAGAGATTGTACTAAAGAGTCAGAATTTATTTGTGTTAATTATTCTAAATCAGGTAAGCAGACAAATTTATCAGATCCGTAAAAAATTGCAGCATAATTCACGAGAATTCAGCATGTTGGTTTACAGCGTTTAGTGTTCTGGGGTTTGGAGATTTGCCTCTAAAATCTGTTTTTTTTTTTTTTTTGGTAAACATGCCAGAAAGCGGAGCGGCTTCTTTTGAAAGGTTTTGGAACGTCAGTAAACCGCAATACAACGTTTGTGTAATACTCATAATCGATATCAGAGACAGATGTCTGTTTTTCAGATACCGATTTTGAATTATTTACCACACAAAAGAACTATGGGGAAGCACGCCAATTCTGTCAAGGCAGATCAAAAGATTTACCCATGTTGAAAACGCGAAACCAGTACGATTTGATTCTAGATAAGATAAATACTGATTCAAGCATGTAAGTAAACGAAACCAAAATCAGTCCTGATAATATCCCACGAAACAAGGAATTGAGATAGTCGTCTAGTCGTCGTACTGGTGTGTGACGGAGACTCCTTTTGGATAGGATAAACGGGTTCCTTGTTGTGTTCGCTTATAACTACAACAGTGCGAAGCTTAAAGGCCGGTTAATACCTCGCTAAGCGAAATAGCGAAGTGAAAATAAAATAGCTAAGCGAAGCTTTGATTTGATACGCATCGCTTAGCTTCGCGATGTCAAGATAAAGGTACAGCGAGCTTTGAAGCTTGTTTCGCTCGGGTGAGGAAAAACCTACTCTACGCTGCCTCGCTTAGCGAAGTATAAACTGGCCAGGGTATAGGATAGGACAGAGGAATTGTAGATGTTTAAAGATCTACAGTTTTAAAACAAAGAGTAGGCTATACTACTGTCCTTGACAATTTTGTTTCTAAAAATACATTTCATGGTTTTTGTATGAGCCAAAATCAGGTGCAAAAAGGAAATAAAACTTCATTCCATTTCGATTTTCTCTAGAAAAAATATTTGGATCGGTATGATGTTTGTTGGATCACAGGATGATGACTATCGAGAGTTTAAATGGTTTGATGGTGAACGAATTGATACGGCTGATTGGGACACTTCCGCTTCCGGTTCATGTGTTTACATGGATTCGTCTGATTCATTTAAATGGAAGCCAGTATCGTGTTCCACAGCGAGGTCATATGTCTGTACACCAACGTTTAGAATTCACAGTAAGCCGTCTTTTATTCTGGTTCAATTTCAAAGCATGGTTGTATGCAGTGTTTGTGCCCGTGGTATTTAGCATTCGGTATTTAAACCCATATT